CAAACGGGCCGCCGAAAGGAGAGCGCGCGAGCGCAGCGGCCGCCTTGGCGCGGAAGGGGCCGGGGCGGGAAGCGAGGGGCAGTGGGGCGCCTGCTCTACGCTCACCTCCAAGAACCTGCTCTCCCCTCCGAGAGCGGCCCAGAAGATCAGGGCGATCTGGCAGCTCCGGAATCCGACAGCCATGCCGCCTCTCCCGCGCCTTCGCGCCGCGGCGTGCGGAGACCGGGAGCAGCGGCAGGAGCGGCGCCTTCTCTGGCGCTTCCTCCTCGACGGCTTTCCTGGATGGGTCCTTTTTATAGAGCTGTGGCAGAGGGGAGGCACCCTGTCCCTGACTGATAGGGTAACCCATGGTTACTGGACCTCTGCCAGGGAGGCGACAGAGTGCGCGGTGATGACGGGGCCCCCAAATCCGCAGCTGCACTCGCGCCCCGCTGCTCGCGCGGTCTAGTCAAAACCCCGGCGAGGAGCTCTCCTCGTGCCTCCGCTGCCGCTTGCAGAATTGTTCGCCCCCCTCCCCGCTAGGAAACTGGGTTTCTTGCCCCTTTTGCAACTCGCGCTTTTGGAAGAGAGCCGCTGGCACCATGGCTAATTATAACCTCTGACCCGATGGCCGGGTCTTCTTTTTGTGTGTGGGGGGAGTGGGGGGGTGGAAACGAAGGCACGCTTCAGTATTCCGAATTGTTCTGTTTAACTCTTAGCACGTTCTGAGCCAGGCTAGGAACAGAAATCAGATTTGGGGGAGACCTTTTGTTAAATCCTGTTTTCCTAAAGGAAACTTTTCTGTTACATCATGTTATCTAGAATCTGTCACAGGTGTAGATTCTAGGCTTACCGTAGACTGGGTAGTTTGCCAGTCCTCTGAATCTGTTTTGTAAGTTAAAATATGTACATTTCCCATCATCTCAATGTCTGTTGTTATCGAGCAATTTTCATTTCGGGATCTTAATCTTGAGCAGCACAACATTGATCCAACCTCTTAGTGATTTCGTTATTTATCTACCTGACCACCTGAAACCAGCCAGACTATAGGTTTGTTACCCAGAAGTTTGTTCTCAGTTTGCAGTTGCCATCTGTGGCTTCATCACTGCTTATGAAAGAAAGAAAAGGCTTGTCAAGTCTCCTTTCCCCCTGTTCTCCCCCCCCCCATATCTTCTTTATTTATTTACAGTAAGAGGTTCCAAATGAGGCATGTCTCAATGCACCATTCTGTTGACTCTATTCCAAAAATTGTGCATTTTCTCACTGTACTTGCAGGAGATGCGGTTGGGGTTTTTTTAGCCCAATTTTCATGGTTGAAAACAAACCCAAAACTGGTTCCCTTAAAAGGATCATTAGGTTTGATGCCTTCCCCAGTCTAGCCCCTCCAAATAGCTTTGTTGGTTGGGATTGCAAACAATGACAGCTGTAGTCCAACACAACTGGAACGTCTAAAACTGAGAAATCTAGTCTAGATGACACAGGGATGTTTCCACAGGTAAGTTGTTTTTAAAAATACTGAATATAAAAATAACAGCTACTTTTAATTAAGACCCAATGTTGTTCCTTGGAAATTAGCAGGAGCCATTTCTATAGTTTGTGCTTGTATTTTATGCATCCATGTATAGCAGAGGTGGGCAATCTGAGGCCCCAGGACTGTATGGAACCCCAGAGTCCCCTTTTTGCAGTCCCCAGAGCACCCTCTGATCTTGACTATGGAAAACTAAAGGCATATCAGTTCCCCATGATTCCAAGGGGGAAAACAGATGAAAACTATAGGAGAAGCTATATAATTGGCATATCATAGTTTCAAAACTAACAAGGGTCAGCAAAATGAATTCAGTGAGATTTCCCACCAGATTGTTAGAAGGTTGGGACATATAGGCATTTTATATATATA